TGTCGAAGAGTGACAAATCTCTGTCTCGCTTGTCTGGTCAAGTGCAGTTGTGGAAGATGGAGCCGGGGAATAGTTGTCTGCTGGTAAAGTGATATTTGCTCTAGTTGAAGTAACCGGGCCGTTTGTGGTGTTGAGTAGGGTGTTAGTTGAAGTCTGTGCAGGAGCCGATTCATTTACTAGCTTATGAAGTTCACTTGTAAAAACTCTGTGTGACAAGCCATTTCTTAATTTACGAAAAGACTTTTGAAAGTAAGAAACTATTGTAATTTTTGCTAGAGTATGCTTTTGGAATTTAATTATATTGGATATAAAGTCTTTTGGAAGCACATTGTCTCTCACACACCCAATGGGAGAGCATATTAAGTGTTTCAGGTTTCTCTTTTTGAAGTCTTGTGTTAAGTGCTCAAATGCGGTTTCATAGTCCTGACGGGTGGGCTTGCCATAATACTTGTCTTTAGTAACAAGACTGTACACAAGAGCTCCAGATTGACTTTCCTGCCGTGTAAGGTGGTCTGTGATGCACTGGTCAGCAGAAGGCTTTTTGAAGTACTTTGCAAAAACAACTGCTACACCTGCCGTCATACGTCGCTCATCATTAAAGTCGCCAGAAATGCTGTGGGCAAATCCAACAGATCTGTCCTCTTGAAACTGCTCAATGACAGAAGACATGTGTGTCTCAATAATCCTTATATTTGCGTTGCTGGCTGTACTGTCCACAGTAGTGCTGGGAGGGCGTGATTTTTCTTTGTTTTTTCCAAAAACCTGTTTAAGTTTGAAGTAAATTTGTTTCGCTAATTTGTGCTTGCCTGTGCTATTCAAGTGAAGACCTTTACGGGTGAAGTGATTTCTGCTCAAAATATCCAAGTCAACCAGGTGCACCTTATTAATTCTATCAACTAACTCTCTTATGTAATTGTTAGCAAGACAGATTTCATCATGAACTTCATGCTTCTTGCCTACATCAAATCTTGGTGGTACTGTAGTTACAATGAGAGTTTTATTTTGGCTAATACTCTTGATTTTCTCTTCTAAGGCTGAGTATATAGGAGAGAGATCTTTCCGCAGTGCATCATTTGTTCCTGCAATGAGGACAATTACATCATCATTGGACTTTGAAAGCCGCGCTGTTTCTGCCACTTGATTAATGCATGCATTCGGCATAACTGTTCCAACAGCAGTGATCTCATCCTGATTAATTTGGTTAAGTTTGTAGCCTACATTTCTACTTTGGCTATCACCATACACAGTCACTCTAACTTTATTTGTAAACACCTTTTCAACTTTATCTTTCTTATGTTGAGGTTTTTTTATCTGTGGTTTTTTCTTTAGGCCAACATACTGATTATTTGCCTTTGATAGACTAGGAACATTTTGAGACAAGGTATCAAATTTGTTCTCGGTTACAATGGGACTGGATCTAATAAAAACTTTAGACTTAAATGTTTTTTGCCTTTTTTCTTTTGTCCATTTTTGTTTGTTTAGGTTGACATTCTCAGGATTAGGTGCTACAACGTGTGGTGGTACATGGTTTGCGTTAGGGTTTTGCTGGGTCAAGTTACTCTTTATTTCCTTTTTCAATAGAAGCTGTGTTAATGTATCTCTATTTATCCTCGTATATTGGTCATTGTAGATTATAAGTGCTAGCTGTGCTCGTTTCGTCAAGATATCCGATTCTGTAAATGTTGGAACTGATAAATCTGTCTCCAGTTTATAGTTGGAGGAGGCAAAAAGCCCAGTATTAATTTTTGAAGATATGCACTCAGCAGTCAGGAGCATGTGTATTCCACAATCTACACTGTTGGTTTGTCGAGCTGTCCTTACACAAGCCAAGGAATGGTTTGCGTCAGCATTGTAAAATGTAGCCAGCCTTTCGTATATACACTTAGCATGCAGGTGGTTAAGATTTTCTAGTGAGTCAAAATGATAAAATTTGTCTTGATCCTTATCCCACAGAAGAAGGCTCCAATGTGTCCCTGATCCCCCAATGCTCTGAACCTTAGAAGAATCATTTACAGGGATGAAGATAAACTTTTTATTTTCCAGATTTTGAGGTAAAAGAATTTCCCCAAAATTATCAAGGGTTTTAATAGCTAGTGTTAATACTGGACTGATGAAATGTACATCCTTGTGTGCAATATTGTTGTTTAAGATGTCAAAAACAATTTGAACTGTGTCATCTGTTACCCACTTGGACTCCAATAAAGCCAGAGAAATGTCCTTTTTATTTAGCTTATTTTCTTGTGGATTGGAATTTAGGATTGATTTCTTGAGGCTAGAACCCTTTGGTGAAATGGGGGTCTCATCCGCTTGTGTATTATTTGTCTCGGGTGTTGTCTCAGTTACACTAGGTGTAATGCCATCATACGGTACCAGTATTTCATCACTATTCTCTGTGGAGGATTGTTTGGCAGAGTGTATGGACTCACATGAGCTAGACAGATTCACTATAGTAACTGATGAGGAATTACTTTTATTTATTAAAGAATTGTTCTTGTTCAGACTTAGTTCGATTTCCTTAATAGCTACTAAGAAATGTTCTTTATTTTTTAGCTTTGGAGTCCCATATCTGGTTTTATTCTCCCTGTATAAACATACATCTATTTCTTTTGCACATCCTTCCTCACCTGTTCCATAGAAAATAACATTGTATCGAGGGATTTTGTATTTACAGTCAATACCTTTTACTATGGCTGGCCAATGAGAGTGCCCTTTCAGTTTGGCAAAAACTCTGTCACCAATTTTGAATTTTGTTTCTTTTTTTCCATCCATAATTAGGTTGGGTGGATTATGTCACACATTTACATGCATAAACCAACGAACTATCAAGCTATAACAATATAGCTACAATATATAATATATTGTGATACCCAATTTTAAATTATGAAGAAAGTTACTTTTGGTTATTAAAGGATGAGGTGGCTACTCAGTTCACCACCAAATTGAGCAAAAAAATGTCCATCACAATAAAGTGTGATAAATAGGTAGTTAAGTTAATATAAAATTAATAAAACAATAGAGATAAAATCTTCTATTTAAGCTGAAATATTAAAAGGCCAAAATCAACAATGAATGTTCATAGTCCAACTGGAAGTTCCAGCATTGTCATTTACTAGAGTCTCGTCCCTTATCACTCAGTATTTCCCTCTCACTCACTCCTTGTGCACAACCACTGTTCCAGTCAGTTGTTTCTTGGACTTGAAACTAGTTTCTTGAACCAGTTGTTTCTTTTCATGCAGTTTTATTCAGGAAATAACTACTTTAGTCAGATTTATTAAAAAACTAGCTGTGTACCCGTTCTACGCACGGGGATCTTATAATATTCAGTTGAAACCTTCTTATATAACGAACAGCAGTTGGTTTGCATATTTTAAGATATGCTGGCCAAACTATTATACATAGCTTCATTTTATGTTGTTTTTTGTTGTTCCGGATCGGTATGACAATCAATAAAAGGTTAAATTACCTCTGTGTCTGCCGGTCGATCCTATAACGGTAGGCTTACTTTTATTTTTACTATCTGATCTCGTTTGCATGGCTCAATCACGTCCTGGTTGAAGTTCGTTCGCTACGCTCACTCACCTGTATGTTGGAGCTCGTTCGCTGCGCTCACTTTCCTTCAGGTTAGCTCGTTCGCTACGCTCACTTGCCTTCAGGTTAGCTCGTTCGCTACGCTCACTCGCCTCCAGGTTGCAAATTAGCTGTTGTCATAAATGTAAAAGAAATAATAGTGCTAGTGCTGCACCCTGTTGGTAATCCTTGTAACTTTAATGCTATTGAACATCACAGAACAGAACCAACTTGTTTAATTGAAACAGCTGTTAAGATTCAATAATTTCATTTCTCATAAGGTTAACATGGGCTTCCAGAAATTCCACGTCAAAAATCGACAAAAACTTGATTTTCAAGGGTTTACTGTTAAATATCTAACTGTCTCATATTCGATGAAATACGTCTAAAACCATCTCATATATGTATAGTATTTGGAAAATAAGTTTCAGGCGGGACAGTGCTATAGTTATTGAGGAGTAGTTGTAATAAAGTGCGTATTTTAGCGTTACCAAGAGAATGACAGATAGACAGACAGACAGACAGACAGACAGACAGACAGAAATTGAGATAAGGTTTGATTCGGTTTCTCTGACCTATGAAATGTAAAAATAACCAAAAAGTTCATTATTCTAAGCAATGTACAGACAAAACTCTAATTTTATTTATATAGATATTGCAGTGTGTTATTTTAGAACAAATCAATTTGAAATTTTGTATCAAAATAATATTTTTTTATCCTCTATTAAATATATATTTACAAAGAATAGTGCCAAATATTAATTATTAAGTGAGCAGTATAGCTAAAATGGTCCAGTGAAAATCCATGTGATGGGTCCACAGAAACAATTAAGGTAAAGTTTAACTTTGCATATTTATTTTAATTTATGAGGATTTTCTAAATTTAATGGTTCTATAAAAACTAAATGCTTTACCAAACTTTTCTTGTTCACCTCATGCTTAAAATATACTGGAGCACTGAAAACTTGTCACTTTTTGAAGCACGCCCTTTGGAAATCAGCCTGTGGGGCAGAGCCCTTAGGATATTCGTCCATATCAATACTTTTCGGCAAATCTACGACACTCTAAGCTTCATTTTGATGTTCCACATGCCTATACTTTTATTTGGTAAATGGCCTTAACCGTTTGCATAAAATTTGATTGTATCACTTTAATAATATAATAGATAGTCTAGTGACACAAAGTTTAACCTGTGGTTTGAATATGCCTTGATCATATGAGTATACTATGCCTGTAAATTTAGGAAAAAGAGTTGGTGTGCAGTTAAATTTCTGTATCCTCAAATATGTCAAGATAAATGTAATAAATTTCTATCAAACTAATCTTTAAAACTAAGTTGTCAGCGATTTCATGATGTAAGAATAAATCATGTAAATCAAAGAATCACCATTTCAAACACATCCTTTAAAATTAAAGCCTTATTTTTGTTGCAGAAAAGGACGATATACTACACAAAGAGGCTGAGAGCCCTAAAACATCAGCACATTCAGTTGACATATCAAAGGAACATTCAGCAATCATTGCAAAAACTGATTCCATCCCTAACATCTCATCAACTTCTAGCTTAAATGAGGACAAAACTGAAGAAAAAGAAGAAAATGGAATCATCCGAGGCAAGTACTCATATGTGGAAGATGGAATCCCTGCCCAACTAGAATATGAGGCAATTCCACAAGTTAAATTTGAAGTAACTAAATATACAAAAGGTTCAAAAATTCTTACATCTCCGGACATTATTGCAAAAAGTAGTCCAGTGAATGAAAAGGAGCCTGAATATGAACATGCTTCAGTAATAAGCAAACCTTCAAGTATCACACGGAAAACACGATCTTTAACTGAACAAAACCGGCAATCAGAGCCTACAGAATATGAACTTGCAAGAGATCAAGAAAACAATGAAACTGATGTACTTCCTGCAGATGCTTCATATAAATTTGGATTCTCTGCTGATGGTCAGACCAGGAATGAAGAGTCAGATGCTGAGGGCAATGTTGAAGGGAGCTACTCGTACATTGGAGAAGATGGGATGATAACAAAAGTAGAATATGAAGCTGGTGCGGGAAGGGGATTCAGTGTCAAAAGGATAATACAACTACCAGGTCCAGTGAAGGTGGATCAGTCTTTTAGTAAACTAAATACAGAAGAAGGTGTAGGGCCGTCCAGTCATGGTGTAATATCTGAAGATCACATAGTTCAATCCCCTCAACGGACGTCCCTTGAACAACAAGATGATCCTGTTATTGAGAACGATGGATCATATTCGTTTTCTTACGCAACACCAGATCAATGGAGAGAGGAGTCAAAGGATACTAATGGTAAAGTAAACAGTCACTTTTATTCTATTATAAGAGAAAATAAATTCACACAAGCGCAGGCAGATGACTTGACTAAAGAGTTCATTGAAAAAGAGTTTAAACCTCGTATGACTCATTTTCTTGAAAATATTTTTACAACAGCCCTAAAAGAGAACACTAAAACTAGTATTGAAGGCTTACGTTTAGTACCATATGAGTCAAGTGAGAAGTCTGATGTGGCGAACAACGAAGGAACTGTTAAGACTGGAGTTTCATCTGATGGTCAAATGGAATTGAACCGTCCAACACAAAATGAAGAAATTGTTGAGCCAATGAGGGATGAAAATTTACCTCAAAGCGAAAGTGAAAATAATCCGCAAGATGTAAATGAGGGTATTGCAACAACGTTGAATGAAGATACATATTCCAATTTAAATCAAGAAGCGGATCCTAGCCTAAAGGCTAGTCAAAATGTATCCCCTACAATTCCTGCATTACTACAAGAAGATAAATCTGCAGTTGGGGAAACAACTAAGACAAATAATCCTGATGAACTGATAACTATATCGGCTAGTAACTCAATGGCTGATGGTTCATACAACTTTGCTTATGGAAACAATGAACAACTGAGGAGGGAATCTGTAGATACTAAAGGCAATGTTTATTCCAAGTATCAGTATAAAACCAAAGACGGAGGAAGAACAGCCGTGGTGTTTAAGAGAAGAGTAGTAAAAGATTCTACGGCCAAGGACGGTGGGGAGAGACAGTTTAAGAGAGATATACCTGTGGAGCATGTGAACACAGCACAAGTTCAGTCTTTCAGAGGTAGTGTAAAACATCAAAGACAAAGACAGCTTCACTGATTGAGGCATACAGTAGAACGAATGTTAAAATCAAAAGCTTAAAATAACTGATTTTGTACATTTTTCAATAAATTTAATACTTTCATATTAGTGTTTTGGTTCCTTCCATTGAAAAAATGAAACTTATATTTTAAAGAGTTGAAGTTCAGAAGAAATTGGTCACGCAGCAAGACTAATAGTTAAAAAATTGCAAAATGCTTGAATACACTTTTCTTAAAAACGTTCTGTTACTATAGCATGAAAATTGAAAATAATACCATTAGCATTAGCAGAGCTTAAAGGTTTTGTAATACGTTCATCTGAAAGTAGATTATAAATATGTTGTAAGAACATGTCTATAGGCTATGTAAGGAAAAAGTGTGTGAATTCCACTCACAACAACCAGCTTATCTCTGAGGGCTAAAACACTCAAACCATCCAACACATCATCAATAAAGGCCATTAACCACCTAGAATTATCCACCTTAGGTGTGTTATTTTATTAATACCACCTTAGGTGTGTATTCCCAGAACATATTCATATTCATATTCATAGTTCTTTATTCATTTTTTTGTACATAGTTTGTACAGTAAATAGCGTCATATATAATACAATACTAAATCTAATTAAAATCTACTATTAACAGTTAACCAAGCAAAAATGAAAAGTAATAACAAAAATATTTATATCTACAGTAGGTTATATCTGGGAGGTGGAAAATTCTTCTATGGAGTAAGGGGCCAGTTGTATTAAATATTCTTTCAGCAATTTCCTGAACTTATTTAAATTATTTTCTCTTCTTATGTTTTCTGGAATATATTTAAGAAAAGTATATCCTGTGTAGGTTGGTTTCTTTTCAAAAAACTTTAATCTATGTGGCAGGATAACCTCATTTCTCTTTCTAGTATTATACGAATGAGCTGGGGACTTAAAATTGATAGTTGTACAATTCTTTGCAATGAGAGTAGTTTCAATAATGTATTGCCCGTAAACTGTTAAAATATTTAGATTTTTGAAATGTTCTTTTGCTGGTGCATCATAGTCTAACTTAAGCATGATCCTGATTGCTCGTTTTTGCTGTTTTAATATTTTTTCCAAATTTAAATTTTTTGTTGAACCATACAGCGCTATGCAGAACAATATATGAGAGTGAACATGGGCGAAATAAATATTTTTTAATGTTTTCAGATCACAGTAATAAGACATTTTAGATAATGCGTGAATTCCTGAATTAATTTTGCCCAAAATTTTATGCACATGTTCGTCCCAACTCAGATTTTGATCTACTGTCAGACCCAAAAAATTTATACTTTTTTCGTGTTCAATGTTATGGTTATCATGTATTATTAAAGGTTCTAGTAGTATTTTACTTTGAGCTGTCTTGAACATTACAAATTTAGTTTTTTGTGGATTTAAAAGTAAATTGTGATTTCTCAAATAGTTTCCAAGGTTTTCCAATTCAATGTAAGAACACACTTCAGTTTCTTCTTGTGAGGCAGTTGATAAAACAAGATTTGAATCAAGCGTAAAGACACAACTTACTATTAAGCTTATAGATTAATGCGCTGTTTACTCCTCTCAGGTAGCAAAGAAAAAGCAAAGGCCCAAGAATTGATCCTTGAGGTACTCCAAACCTGATTGGCTTACAATTTGATGATATTTTTGTAATTTTATTATATTTAGTTAAGTGGGAAATTTCTACATACTGAGATCTATAATGGAGGTAAGAACTGAACCAATTTAAAGCATTTTGAGAGAGACCAAGAACCTGAAGTTTTTCTATTAGCTTTGAATGTCTAACACTATCAAAAGCTTTTGAGAGGTCCATAAATATACCTGTTGTAAAATTTCCTTTGTCTACTGAGTCTATAACAGACTCAGTATACTTCAAGAATAATAACACAAATTTACCCGAAGGTATTGTTAAATAATATTGCAATTGAGTTGTAAAAGTATTTTTAATACATTAAAGGTAGTTATTGGTGGAATTCTAGCTTGGACACAATTTCTTTCACAGAGTTGGTAAATGTTTGGTTAGTGTTTATGGGATCCAAGACTATTGAATGCACTTTGCTCATGTACTCATCAATGTTTTGAAGAGTTGGTGTTTCTTTGTTACCTGTAAAAGTAAATTGAATAAATGATAAATATCCTGTCAAATTTGTCAAAACATCATTAGTTATTTTTTCCTTAACAATGATTTGAAAAAAACATTTAACAAGAACAGTTCCAACTTATTGGCAAAATTGACAAATTCCGACAATTGAAAAATAATATCTTTAATCATTGCATTCAACATAGTCCTACCGTAATTCTTCTTAACAAGCTCAAAAACTGATTTAAGTGCAAATGCCTGCAGTTTTTGATGATTCTTGAATTAATCCCTATTACAGTAGATCCCCTCTTATCCAGACACTTTTTAACCGGACATCGGTTTAACCGGACTACACTCGGCAAAATTACATCTCTTTAACCGGACAATTTTTATCAGCACATCGGTTTAACTGTTATCGTAGGAAAGATTTGAGACCAGTGACCACATGTCTAAGTACAATTCTCTCCTAAATTTAAGTAAAATACTGTATACAGTATCCATTTAGACGGTTCATTTTAACGAGTGGTTGGGGACGTCGGTTTAACCGGAAAACCCGTTATCCAGACTGGCCTTGGTCCCAAAGAGTCCGGATAGGAGGGAGTCTACTGTAATTCTATTAGAGATTTTTAATGAAAGATATTTGATACAAGATATTTATTATTACGAAAAAAAAAAAACTGCCGGAACGGTTTTGTTTATTTTTTATTTATTTTTAGATTTTATTTGATTATTTGTTTTATTTTTAAATTTAACTTTTTTAAAGATATTTATTTGGTTTTACAGATATTTGATTATAAAAGTTTTTAGTAGCACCAATTTAGAAACAAAATTAATCAGCAGTAAAAATGGGTTAAAAAGGTGTACTTAGTCATTTTGTTGGCTTATTTACAAACGGCTGTTTTACAAACGTTAATTTGAAACTGAAAGATAGGCATTGCTGTCCAGGGCCAAAATTATATTTTGTGGCCGAGCAAGATTTTACATCCCTAGGGCCGAAAATCAGATGTTAGCTTATTTACTTAAAACACATTAATAACAGTAATAGAAAAGATATTCAATAGTCAAGCAGCATCTATTTGCATTGCAATAGACTTGTTTTATTGTCACCGCTGCCTAGCAATTATTTGTTATCATTTCTGCTGATTCCTTTCTTCACGTAACCTTAAAGTTTTAGTTGTGTTGACTATTAGCTTTGACTTTCATTAGTGTGCATTTTTACTGTCCATATTTTCTCAATTTTGAATAGTTTTATGAAAAATAGTGCTTGTACCACGGGTCAACAGGATTTTGCAGCTCTCGGTCGTTTTAAGCTCTCTACTTCGTCTCGAACATCAAAATAGTCTTGAGTTGGCAAAACCTAATTTTCGGGCCTAGGTACGAAATATACTATTATGAGTTCCTGGTTTGTGGTAAAAAATCTAACACAAACAAACAGAACAAAACCGTTTGCGACAAGACATCAGATCTTTATTTAATAAAAGTTTCTCGTGTGGAATAAAAGCAGGCTCAGTAATAGCGAGAGAAGCTACCTAATTCGGATAGGATTGTTATGATGTGTATGAGATCTTTCCAATACCAAAGCAGTTAATATAACATGAAGTTAAAAAATTTTTGAATAAAACTGTAGTTAAAATCTTAATGGAATAAGTATAAAAAGTAATAAGCATAAAAGTAAAAAGACTTCAGCAGTGAATTAATAAGCATTAAACCTATATAAACTCACCAGGAAGAGGAAGATTTGCAAATCCTGCAGCCAGAGTTGACCGCACCTGGAAAAAAAATAACATAAACATCTACTAAACTACTTAACAACCGCAACTCAACAAGGATTTAATCTGGAAACAGCTGTTTGCCGCCTGCTTAAGCAAATGGGATTTCATAACAGTAGGATAATGCAATTTGCCGGACACCAGCTGATTACAATTGCCGACTTTTAGTTATTCAACACCTCAGGTATTTAATAAACATAAATAATTATCAATTTACATCTAACAATATTTAAATAACTCATATAAAATTATTTTTGTACAGAAACCTAAAAAATAAACGGTATCAGCATTCTGACACATACTTTCTCCCATAAGTTTGTCAACAACCTTTATTGTGTAAGTGGTGAGAGTAAATATACGCAAATGGGATTTGTACAATTTTGTTCAGAATTTAAAGGACTAACATAACATAATATAACATGATAAATTTTTATCAAAATCGTTCGGGCCATTTTTGGGAAAATCCGATTTTTCTGTTATTTTATGGGGGTTTTATGGGAAAATGACATAATTTACAATAACTTTTGAACCGTAACTTTAACAGAAATGGGATTTGTACCATTTTTTTCAGAATATAAAGAGCTACAACATACTAAATTTTTATCAAAATCATTCAGGCCATTTTTGGGAAAATCGTATTTTTCCGTTATTTTATGGGGTTTTATGGGAAAATCCCCATTAAAAGTAATAAATTCTAAAAATTAAAAAAAAACTATTAAAACTGTAAGGACTATAACATACTATGTTAAATCAAAGCCGGATTTTTTTCTAAAATCCTATTTTTCGTTATTTTATGGGGTTTTTAATGGGAAAATAACATATTTGACCATAACTTTGGAACCGTAATTAATTTTTACAGATATGGGATTTGCACCATTTTATTCAGAATTTAAAGGGCTACAACATACTAAATTTTTATTAAAATCGTTCGGGCCATTTTTGAGAAAATCCGATTCTTCCGGTTTTTTATGGGAAAATCCCCATTAAAAATTAAAATTTCAAAAAAAATTATAAAAACGCCTGGAGATACCATGGATTAGAACCTACATACCAAATATCATCGAAATCGGACCACAGGTGTGGTCTCTAGCTCTATACACATCCAGACACACAGACACACACACCAATACCTACAAATGTGTCGGAACGAGATCCGAGTAAAAATCCAGCTGTTGGAGATCCAGCAGAAGGGGTGCTTTTTGAAAGAAAATACGTGATACTCTATATAATTAAAATGTCTGATACATGTTTGTCATGCCATATTTCAAATAATGCTAAAAAACTCCATTTGATTTTTCACATTTACAGTGAGATCCAGTATGTAAGTCGATATGAGATCCGCTTTGGCCTTGAAACTCGCTCTAATACACGCGTATAAAATGTCACGGTCAAACTGAGATCCGACACTTTTTCTAATCTGAATGATTTCACTGACATTGGCATTTGTTTGTGTGTTCACTGTATATTTAAAGACAGTCACTTAGAGATCACATATCCAGAGCTGCAACGATAACTGCTCCGGTCCGGAGACCAATCTGTTTGGGGAGGCCAACGTTCATATCCGAGATTCTGACATGTTGTGATGGGTGCAAATTTACAGAAGAAAATGATTTTTTTGCTTCATACTTCACTGCTGTGAAAACACCTGTTAGCGAATTTCCCTATAGAGAAGTAGCTATTACCGTAGGTCTCATGGTAAGACCTAGGCCCGGGACCGATTAACTTTTTCATTTTGATGTCCCCAGAGGCCAAACACCATTCGTTCAAATTTTTATATATCTATATATAGAGATATTTATATATATGTCCATCCGCACGATAACTTGAGTAATTTTTGTCCGATTTTGATAAAATTAGGTTTGAAGGTGTAAGGCAAGATAAACTTAAATGAGTTCGCGAACCAGCATGATCGGACCATGGGAACGGGATTTAACGGGGGGTTTTACGGGGTAAAAATAGGGTTTTCTCATTTTTAGCGAATTTCCCATATAGGGAATAAGCTATTACCGTAGTACTCATGGTAAGACCTGGACCCGGGACCGATTTACTTTTTCGTTTTGAGGTCCCTAGAGACCAAAAACACCATCCGTTTAAATTCATATATATATATATATATATATATATTTATATATATATTTATATATATATATATTTATATATATATTTATATATATATATATTTATATATATATTTATATATATATATATATTTATATATATATATATTTATATATGTGTCCGTTAGCGCGATAACTCGAGCAAAAATGATCCGATTTTGATGAAATTTGGTACAAACATGTAATCCTACGTTTACATCCTGTAATCCTGGATTCGAACGAGTTCGCGATCCAGCATAATCGGACCATGGGAACGGGGGTTAATGGGGGGTTTTATGGGGTAAAAATGGGTTTTTCCCATTTTTGACCCTAAAAACAAAAAATTTTGCAATTTCTTCCTAAACCGTTTTGTAGAGCTTAAAAAAAGAAATAATTTAGTATATTGAAGCGCTGTTGTATGCCTAACGGCATGGCCCCCACATTTAATTGTGGGCCCTGTTACCAGGATCTGGCTCGGGCCCCCCTACCAACCGGGGGGTCGGGGGGGTATGGAATACCCCCCAGCGTAGAGGGGGGGTCCGGGGGTCCCCCCCCGGGAAAATTTTGAAAATGTCATGTATTTTAGTGAGTTTTTAAGGCAATCTAGGTATTAAATTTGTGAGTGGTAAATGGCACTTTTGCAGCCTTTTTTAAGGAAGAAAAGAGTTCTTCAATGAGTGTTATAAGACTTAAAATTACAGGAATTCAGCAATTAAAACTATTATATCAATACACAAAAGCTCCATGCCTATTAATATTTTGTCCTTTTTATTTCCCTGTAAGAGGGTTTGGCTATCTTAACTGCTATAATTGTACTTTGTAATATGGAGTAGGAAAAAACTTACGTAAATTGAGTTTAACAGCTTACACCAATGAAATCATATTTTATTCAGTGACAATTTTCATCAAGAATTTTAACAATACTACATTTTTTGGGAGTGGATGCCTGAGCTGCCGAACTTGCGCCGAGTCGTCACGTAGAAAAACAAATGTGCTCGAGTAATGCCGAGAATGACCGATGCTATCCAATCCATGCTTTAGTACAGTATTATACCGAGCAAATTGGGAAGAAAACTTAGGTCAAAATTATTAGGCCTACAATCTTTCATATTTTTAAAACTCCAAAAGTAAAGAATTTTTAAGTTTGTGTCAAATAACCTAGATTGCAATAATTATTAATTGAAATATTCCATACATAAAAGTGCAACCGGGACCAAATGTTGATAAAACAGGACAAATAAGCGTCCCGAGAGGATTTGTCGGGACGGACCAGTCCCCCTAAAACGGGACGTCTGGTCACCTTAGCTATGGTACATAGTACATGTCAATTTTTCAATGCTTTACAAATTTTATTTTAACTTATAACTATAAGGATTCATTCTTGAAACTATCAGTTCAATTATAAAACCAAACTTTGTTTATTATGGGGGGAATGAGGTAGGAGTGGCTAGGCGCCTGGCGGGAGGAAGGGGTAGAGGGAGTTTGTGGAGCCGGCCACTGGGGCCCGAGCTGGCTGTTCTGCTGTTGTATAGTACATACGCACCTACGCACCTATAGAATTTAAATATAAACTTCCTTAGAATGAAGAATTAATACATTTTTAATTATTTAACTTTGTTTTTTGTAAAATATTTAAATATTATTTTTTTATCTTCAATTTATGAGCTGTAAAGTGATCTTCAATGGGGAAAAAATAAAAAACAAATGGGTAGGCCCGGGCCCCCTGAGGGCCCGGGCCCTGTGACTAGAGTTGCGCCAGCCCCACCCTTGTGGGGGCCATGCCTAACGGTCACGGAGAAAATCCAAAAATAGTGTAATTTAAAATTCCCATGTTATTCTTATGGAGAAAATGAAAATTGTTGTAGTTTACTTGTTTATGGATATATATTGATAAAATTTGGCAAATTTATTTATTTCATCCTATACTATTGACGTATAGTCAAAAAACACTTTTTACCTTCCCCGTAGCAGCAAACCTAAGCACTCGTTAAATATAATGTTATTTAAATAGGGAATAAATATGTCTTATTTATGGAAATATTTTAGTAAAAATGTAATCAGACAAGTTGAAATTCGCTTAGTCTGCAGGTTTGCTGCGGCGGGGGTATTTACCCTTAAAACACACAATTTTTCAATTTTTCTCCAGACCTTTTTAAAGAGCTTAAGAAAACAAATAATTTAGTAAATCAAAGTGTTTTTGTACGATAATTGGTTACGGAGAAAATTAAAAAAAATAGTTAATTTAAAATTCCCATGTTATTCTTATGAAGAATATTATAATATGTTGTAGTTGGCTTGTTTATGGACAAATTTTGATCAAACTTGGTGTGTTGATTTATTTCATACTAAGCTATTGATATTTCAATAAAAAAACAGACTTTATTAGTTTCCCTGTAGCAGCTAAACTAGGTACTCGTTTAACATAAATGTTAATTTAATAGAATCTAGGCAAAATAAATTTGCTAAGTCGGCAGGTTTGCTGCAGCGGGGGTATTATTTTTGTTATTTGTTTATGTTTATAAACTGCTAAATCCATAATTAACTTGTTTACTTTGCAACAGTAATGTTTATTATCTTTTTTGGATTTTGCCGTTATTAACAATCAAACATTATGTTATTGTACCATAAACTGTTTCAATTTGTACGACAAAAACTGTAAAATCAATGTAAATTTGATCTTAAAAGAAGGCATAACCTAAAGAATGCTATAGTTTTTTAAATGTTCATTTTTATCCCTTCTATTTAAAGTTCAAACTCAAATTTATTGTTTAATTTTGGTTGTTGAAAATTGAACATTGAACAGTTGATGAAACAATAACAAATGTTAGTTTTTTATGTCGGTAAAATCCAAAAAGATGAATACCTAACATATTTTTTGCATTGTAAACATTCTTTTCGCTTCTA